TTTTTTTTTTTTTTAAAAAAAACCCCCCCCCCCCCCCCCGCCAGTAATTTTTGGTGGGGGGGTGCAACCCCCCCCCCCCCCCCAGCAACGACTCGGCGCGCCCAGAAAAAAAAAAAAAAAAATTTTCTAGCATATAGATAATTTTTTAATTGTCACCTAAGGATATTTTTTCCATTTATTTCTAGAGAGAGTAAAGGGAGGGAAGAGGTGGGTAGAGAGTGATAGAAACATTGACTTGAGAGAGACACATCGATTGGTTGCTTCCCTCACTGTGCCCCTACTGGGGCTGGGGAACCTGCAACCCAGGAATGTGCCCTTGACCATGAATCGAACCTGTGACCCTTCATTCAGAACTTGTGACCCTTCATTCAGTTTGTAGGTGGATGCTCTAACCACTGAACAAACAGCCAGGGCTATAAATATTATTTAAAAATGAGACTTAAGTTACCAAAACTTACACATTATCAGAAAAATAATGCCTGAAAATTAAAGGTATAATATTCATGCTTTTGTTTGTTCATTGTTGTGTTTTTGTTGAGTCATATTGAAGACTGTTCTTGTAAAAACATACTTCAGTGTTGCTATGCTTTTAAAAATTAGGGGCTATGCTTGTTATAAATTAAAACATTATTAAACAAACATGGAAGTAAAACCATGCTAACAATCTTTCTATGTATGTACTCTAGAAATGGGAAATATTTCTTGTACCTGTTTCTTCTTGAACTTTTCCAAAACTTTTTGGTAAGGCATTATAGAGAGTTAATCTGATTTTGCAGATAAAGATGCTAAAGAGTTAAAAATTTGCTGGTATTCATGAATGTTAGTAATAGAAAAAGTCTACAAACTTTTTGTTGTGTTTTATTTTTTGTTGTGTTTTATTTTTTATTAAAAAAATTTTTTAGGTGTGTGTGTGTGTGTGTGTGTTTTAATGTTTTTAGAGAGAGAGGAAAGGAAAGGGAGATAGAAACATCGATGAGAGATAACATTGATTGGCTGCCTCCTGCACGCCCCTCATGGGAGATCAAGCCCAAAACCCGGGCATGTGCCCTGACCAGGAATCAAACTGCCAACCACTCTCCACCCGCAATCACTGAGCCTCACCAGCTGGGCCTTTTGTTGTGTTTTAGGTCAAAATTTTATTCTGTACCCTTAGAGAAGTTAGGTAAATTTGAATTTAAGAAGCAGGTTTTGAAAGACACTAACCAAGGACATTCATATATTTCTTGTCAATATTGATATTTATTGATTCTAAGACATCTTTTTTTTTCACATTTTATCTCTGAGGTATGAAAAGTGGCTTACCAGCAGTGAATTGATTTCACTGGCTGATGTGTAACCTTTTAATAACTAACAATTAAAAGATATACTTGGGGTCTTGTGAGCCCAGATCTTCCCCTTTTTGGGGGGTGGGGGAGGTAGTCAAGATGTAGAATGGCTCATTTGTGAAAAATTATTATTATTATTATTATTATTATTATTTTTTGGTGGAGGTGCTGGGGATTGAACCCGGGGCCTTGTGCAGGCCAATGTGAAAAATTATTTATATAAAGTACAGATATCAAGAAATCCTTATAGGGTGGTTAACTGTGGGTTGGCTTTCCTGATCCAGTATAGTATTGTAATGAGAACACAGCAGTCAAGGATAGAAGAAAATGAAAAAGCTATGGGGATTAAAATCTACAGCTTGTAGTGCATCAGCAAACATTACTAAAAACTACTAAAACACACTTGCATGATGAGTTTACTGGGTTTTAATGGGAATTCCTCACCTGCATTCTTAGATACGAAAGGACTCTCCAAGTCTATGGAGATTATAGGTGTCCTTATCTATTCCAAAGTGCCTGATTTCTTCTTGAGTGAAAACAGGGACTCTTGTTTTATTTTAAGTGGCCTTCCTGACATTAACTCCAAGATCCTTCTCAACATGATCATCCTACTCTGAAACCTGGAAGGTGTGAGTTGTAAAGTAACTGTTCACCTCATTGACCAAGTCCATTCCTATTCAGCATTGTTTACTGACATGTAGGGGATGGATCCATGATTGTGTACAAAGATAAAAAAGAAAGCACATTCTTTTTTTTTTTTTTTTTTAAATCTTGGTCCCTGTTCCCCTTTCTAGGTCTTGTCTTTTCTTTCTTTCTTTTTTTAAAAAATAGATTTTTTTACAGAGTGGAAGGGAGAGGGAGAGAGAGTTAGAAACATCGATCAGCTGCCTCCTGCACACCCCCTACTGGGTATGTGCCCGCAACCAAGGTACATGCCCTTGACTGGAATCGAACCTGGGACCCTTCAGTCTGCAGGCCGACACTCTATCCACTGAGCCAAACCGGTTAGGGCAGTGGTTCTCAACCTTCCTAATGCTGCGACCCTTTAATACAGTTCCTCATGTTGTGGTGACCCCCAACCATAAAATATTTTCATTGCTACTTCATAACTGTAATTTTGCAACTGTTGTGAATCCTGATATGCAGGATGTATTTTCATTGTTACAAATTGAACATAATTAACGCATAGTGATTAATCACAGAAACAATATGTAATTATATATGTGTTTTCTGATTGTCTTAGGCGACTCCTGTGAAAGGGTCCTTCGACCCCCAAAGGGGTCGCGACCCACAGGTTGAGAACCGCTGGGTTAGGGCAAGAAAGCACATTCTTGCTTCCAAGAATCTGCTGCTGAGGCAGTTAGGTACCAAACATGAAAAATTAATACCTGGTCTTAGGAAGATGACAAGTAAATTATATTCCTGTTTGACAGATTTTATGGAAAGAACTCTTCTTATGTCCACGGGGGATTGGATTCAAATGGAAAGCCAGCAGATGCAGTCTACGGACAGAAAGTAAGCATACCAAGCTTTATGTAGGTGGTTTAGCAGCTAGAAAATAATCCCTAAAGTTGAGGTAGATGCATGCTTAATAGATTGGCTGATACTGAAAGGTCAAATTTGTCAAGTTTAAAAAAATTTAGGTATTTAATGACTATTTGGTTAATGCGGTAGTTATTGAAATGCTTATGTCACATTGCTCATTTTGTATTATATATTGTGAAGGTTTTTTTTATATGAGGAGATTATTGGTTTTAGCATGGGGTCATCTATTATAAACTTTCTTTTCTAATTTTTTTTAAACTATATTTTTATTGATTTCAGAGAGTGGGAGAGAGAGAGAGAGAGAAAGAAAGAAACATCAGTGATATGAGAGAGTCATTGATTGGCTGCCTCTTGCACACTCCCCACTGGGCCACTGGGCATATGCCCTTGACCAGAATCAAACCTGGGACCCTTTAGTCCCAAGGCCTACGCTCTATCCACTGAACTAAACCGGCAAGGACTGTAAATATTTTTGGGTATGTTATTCAAGACAATAATTTAAAAGGCTCAGGAGTGGTCACGAGGAATCTATCGTATCTAATAATAGACAAACATGGTAATTGACCGTACCTTTGCTATGCCTCTCATTGGCTAATCAGCAAGATATGCAAATTAACCGCCAACAGAGATGGCGGTTAATTTGCATATGTAGGCGGAGCAAAGACTGAAGGCGGCTCCGGCTGGAGCGAAAGCCTGGGTCCCGGGTGCCGGAGGAAAACTGGTGCCGGCAGTCAGGGGAAGGGAAGGCCTATTGCATGAATCTTTTCATGCAACAGGCCTCTAGTTTATATAATAAAAGCCTAAGCGACCTTTATGGCAGAACGACCAGAACGGCTGGTCACTATGATGCACACTGACCACTAGGGGGCAGACACTCAATGCAGGAGCTGCCCCCTGTGGTCAGTGTGCTCCCACAGGGGGTGCGCTGCTCAGCCAGAAGCTGGGCTTATGGCTGGTGAGCGCCGTGGCGGTGGCAGGAGCCTCTCCCACCTCTGCGGCAGCTCTAAGGAGCAGTGAGCCGAGAGCTAAGGTGCGAGGGGTCCTGGACTGCGAGAAGGTTGTCCTGAGGGATCCTGGACTCCCCCCCCCCCCCCCCCCCCCCCCTGAAGTGCACGCATTTTGTGCACTGGGCCTCTAGTATACTATATTAAATGAAGCAAGTTATGGGAAAGCATTTGACAACTTGCTGCCTGGCATATGTCATCAGATTGGCTCAAGCTGTTACATATAAAAAAAGAAGACAAATCAGAATAGGGTCTGTATAGTTTGTAATTTAAACATGTAAATTCTCACAGTTATGTGGGAAATTTTTTGTTGTTGTAGATTGTGTAAGTTTTAAGGCATTAACCTATGCTTTCATTCCTTAGGAAATCCATAGGAAGGTGATGTCACAAAACTTCACCAATTGCCACACTAAGATTCGCCATGTTGATGCTCATGCCACTTTGAATGATGGTGTGGTGGTCCAGGTGATGGGGTTGCTCTCCAATAACAACCAGGCTTTGAGGAGATTCATGCAGACATTTGTCCTTGCTCCTGAGGTATGAAAAAAGAAACAGTGAATGGTTGTGCATCTCTTAAAAAAGTATTCATTTTGAAATTTCCAATTTAAAGAAAAGTTATAATAACAGTACAATAACTTCTATATACTTCTTACCTAGAGCCACTGTCAGCACTTGTCCATACATTTAGAATTGTTTTTCTATTAACCTATCATTTTAAATTCTAAACCATTTGATAGTAAGTTAGAAATATGCCTAGTCATCTTCAAATACTTAAGTGAGCATTTCATAACCATAGTATAGTTATCAATCTATAGTCCATATTTAAATTTTGGTTATCTTCCCAATAATGTCCTTTACAGTAATCCCCATCCACCACCCCAATCCAAGATTGAGTATAGGAATACACATTGTGTATAGCTCTGATGTCTCTTTAGTTTTATTTTTTGCTTATTGGTGGCATTGACCTTTTGGAAGAGTATGATCAAGTTACTTTGTAGAATGCCTCAGTTTGAATTGTCTGAATGTCTTGTGATTAGATTTAGGTTATACACATATGTTCTTTCAGTGCCTCATATTAGGGAGGCTCTTGATTTCCTTTATTCCTCTTATTAGCGATGTTAATTTTCATCACTTAAGGCAATGGTCAACAGATTTCGCCACTCTGAAGTTTTACTTTGCTCATTTATAAATAAACTAGGGGCCCAGTGCACGAATTCGTGCACCTTGAAAGGAACTGTGGGCCATGAGGCTGAGGTGGGCACAGGGGTGGGTCTTGGCCCATGCTCCATGCCCCTGCCCAGCCCCTTCCGCCGTGGCTCCTGGTCCCCTTTCTGCTTGCAGCCCTGCTCCTGCCACCGTAGCTCCCACATGCTGATGGCGACGGCCCTGCTCGCACCCACTGATGGCACGGAGTGATTGGGGCTGGCACCAGTAGCGGTTATGAGTGGAGGCTGCTGCCCCCATTGCCCCTTTGGAGCAGGGGGAGATGGAGAAGCCCTGAGGGGCGATTGGGGCGGCAGTCGCCACTCCGGCGTTGGGTGTGGGTGCAAGCAGGGCCAGCACCAACAGTGGGTGCGAGCGATGGCTCCAGCACCGGTAGTGGGTGGGAGCGGGGCTGTTGGTGGCAGCTGGCCCCGATTGTTCCTTAGGAGCAGGGAGAGGTGGAGAAGCCCTGAGGGGCAATCGGGGCCGGCAGCGGGTGCGAGTAGGGCTGGCGTCGACAGCAGGTGTGAGTGCTGGGCAGGACCGTGGCGCACGGAACAAAGAATTTTCAGTAACCACCAGAGGCTCACCCTGATGACAGCGACCGGCTCCCCGCCTTGGTCTGGCGCCCCCACTCACCTGCTCCACCATCCTGCCACGGCCGACGCCTGCCATGTTCTGCACTCTGCTGCCTGCTGGCGATGCCAGCCATGTTCTGCACGTGCCCCCTGGTGGTCAGCACATGTCATACCAACCAATTGTTTGTTCTGCTGTTCGGTCTATTTGCATATTAGGGTTTTATTTATATATATACATATATATATGTGTGTGTGTACATATATATATATATGAAGCCTGTTGCATGAAGATTCGCGCAATAGGCCTTCCTTCCCCTGGCTGCCAGCACCAGTTTTCCTCCGCCTGGCCGCAGTGGAGAAGCCAAGCCTTGAGGCTAGGCTTTTCCCCTCCGGCCGCAGCGAGGCTTGGCTTCTCCACTGCAGCCTCAGCGAGGCTTGGCTTCTCCACTGCATCCTCAGCGAGGCTTGGCTTCTCCACTGCATCTGGGCTCTTCAGTCTTCACTCCTCACTCCGGCCAGAGCCTTCAATCTTCATATGCAAATTAACTGCCATCTTCGTTGGGTGGGCGTAGCGGAGTGACACCAATTTGCATGTTTCTCTTTTATTAGTGTAGATTGTGGGTGATTCTTTGAGACTGTGCAAATACCCTGTTCTGTTTTTTTAAAATATATTTTTATTGATTTCAGAGAGGAAGGGAGAAAAAAAAGAGAGAGAAACATCAATGATGAGAGAGAATCATTGATTGGCTGCCTTCTGCAGCCCCTGCCCCCCCTTACTGTGGATAGAGCCCGTAACCCAGGCATGTACCCTTGACCGGAATCGAACCCAGGACCCTTCAGTCCTCAGGCCGATGCTCTATCCACTGAGCCAAACTGGCTAGGGCCAAATACCCTGTTCTTCATCAAACTTATATACTAGTTTTTTCATTCATTGATGATTCTTGCCGGAACTGACTGCTACTTTGAATAGTTACAAATGATGATTATCTGATTCTATCATTCAATATTAATTGGTATTCTACTGTAAAGAGTTTCACCTTTTCTCCTATCTCTTATCACTCATGAAGTCTTTATGTGGTAGATTTAATCCATTACTAACTTTATATCAATGTCTAAAATGTCCCAGACATGGCAAGTGTGAACCCCTTTAAGCCAGCTTCTGTGTGTGTGTGGGTGTGTGTGTGTATCTTTTTTTTTTTTTTTAAATCACTTTGTAACTTTGTGGCAGAAGATGCTTCAGGCTCATCTTGCACTGTCTCTGCTCCAGCTCCAGCCCCAGCCCCAGCCCTGGATCAGCTGTTTTCTTCAAGGAGCCCTGGCTCTTTTTAGTTATCATGCTTATTAAAGGACCACAGATTTATGTTGAGTAATTGCTTTTGTACTGTTTTCCCAACTGGTCCAGACTGAACCATGGCAGGAAGCCTGTCTGCATAATCTGTGGAAATGGCTCAATAAGGACTTGCTGATTAAATCTTTTCTTTACCGTTACTCTTAAGATAATATTCTGTTTAGGATAGTGAACCTAAAACCCCTATCATTTTACTGTTTGAACATAAAATAATTCAGTTGTCTTTGAAAACTACATGTCATTGTAGTCATAATTTTTAGAGGAAGGCTTTGATTATCTACAGTGTAAAACTGCTGATGACTTTCTAAATCTGCATGGGGTTAGTTGGGATATAAAAGGAAAAGTCTAGCTCATTTAATACTGAAAGCTCTAAGGTATATGTTGCTATTCCTTTTTACACATGAGGAAATAGCCTTAGAGGTTGAATAGCTAGTAGTTGACATAGTTGGATTTAGACTCGAGAGTGTCTTAATCTAGTGTAGGCAAACTTTTTCAGCTACCCTACTCTTGAGTGCTTTTATCAATAGTCTTGGGTACAGAAATAGGGAATTTAAAATATCTGCTGAAGTTGACAATAGGTATTTATTGTTCAAGAAATGATTTGAGGTGAGGGCTGTGGCATCTTACATACTTAAAGCTTTATCACATTTTGGGCATCCAACTGTTGGTATGTAAAGCAAACCATATATTTGAGGCTCTTTCACTTGGGAGCATGCCAGCGCCTTTCCCTTCCCCTTCTTCTCCACTCTCCCCCGCCCTGACACCACCCCTCTCCCAGGCACATTTACCTTTGCCTTTCTCTCTCCTAAGCTCGAAGGGTTCTTCCTCTGCTTCTGTAACTTGATTCCTGAGCTTATGCAGCCCATCTGGCTCACTTCTATCTATGTAGCTTTCTAAATAAACTTTTTCTTATAATTTGAAAAAATAGAGCAAGCCATATATTTGAGTGTCAATTTTAACAGCCATAATGTAGAGTAGGGTTTTTCACCTTGGCACAGTTAATATTTTAGGCCAATAAGTCTTTGTTGTGGCTGGCTGTTCTGTGCATTGAAGGATGTTTAGCAGCATCCCTGTCCTCTACTCAAAGTTGTCAGTTGCACTCCCTATGTGAAAATGGAAATGTCTGCAGGTATTGCCAAGTAGTTCCTTGGAGAGGCAATAATGCCCTTAGTTGAGAACTGCCAGTGTAGGGTGATTTGGGTTTTTAAAAGTCTGCTGAATAAGTAATAACTTTTTGTTGGTGTTGCAGGGCTCTGTTGCAAATAAGTTCTACGTTCACAATGATATCTTCAGATACCAAGATGAGGTCTTTGGTGGCTTTGTCACTGAGCCTCAGGAGGGTAAGTTACTTGCCTAAATTTTTTTGATGGCATTAATTAATCATTATATGCTGTATTCTTCATTAACAACTTGAAATTGTCAAGATGTATGAAGACATCAAGTTTTTAACATACTTGAAGCTAACAGGTTAGTCTGCTTCATGGATATTGGTAGAAGACATAAAACTCCTAAGTCATAAGTAGACAGGCTGTTACAGCAAAAATAGTAGCATTTTTTTGTCACAGTTTCCACAGGACATTGAAGTCCAAATGATACCTGCATTGCAATGGGATGCATTGTAAGAATGGAACCTTAAGTTTAGGGAACCCAGATCTTTTAGAATGGACAGTAAACATGCCTGCCCTTGTATCTGGAGAGAGACCCTGTTTTCCGAGGTTGTTTGCTTTATAAATGTTCTTAAAAGATAGTCTGGAACAAAGGATAGATATTGCCTCAATTGTAAGATGTGTAGAAACACAAGAAACCCATGGAGAATTGTCTCAGAACAATTTCTGTATGGCTGAGACGATTCTAAGTGCTTTATATTTATTATGTAATACCATAGCCTTATAGATAAGTACTTTAGGCACTGTTGTTCCCATTTAGTAGATTAGGGCACTGCAATACAGAGAAGTAATTTTCCCGATGGCATATAGCTGATTTGGTGGTAGAGCCTGTATTGGATTACTGGCAATATGACCTCAGAGTCCATGTTCTTAACCCGACACTACAGTGTCCTTAAAGCCTATGCTATGATTTTACTGAATTGCCTTGTTTTCTTGACTTTTTAAATATATATTTGCTTTTCTTAAGTCACTGCCTTTTTTATTATGATGAACATTGTGAAAGGGAATTTATTTGTGAATTAAATAAGCACAAATTACTTTAAGTTTCTTTTCTCACTTAGAATCTGAGGAAGAAGTAGAGGAACCTGAAGAAAGACAGCAAACACCAGAAGTGGTACCTGATGATTCTGGAACTTTCTATGATCAGACTGTCAGGTAAGGAAAACTGTTTTTCTCTCCAGAGCTGCATGAGAATTGGGGTTGTCTGGTCTTTCCCTTTGTTGGAGGGTAGTTATGTAATCTCAGAATTACTTCAGAAAATAGTGATAATTTCCCAAAAGAAAGGTTTTACTTTTGGTACCTTTGAGCTTCCAAAAATCTATAATGTGTTCAATATACTTGGCACTATGAGGACTATTTAAATAGGATCCACCAGTTGCTTTTTGGCTTAGTTTTTTCTGGGTGGAAGTGTAAAAGAGTTAGGATTTCTTACCAAGTAATGAACACATTTTAGCAAGCCACTGCATTAAGTGCTTTGGGGAAGAAGATGGTTATAAAGTTACTAGGGCTTGTTTAGAGATTAGTCATAAATCGATAGAAATTCGGACATGATTTGTAGCAGTAAAGAATTTCATCAATTAACTGAGACAGTAAATGTGCTACTGTATCTTATTGTTTTTTTTTTAAATCTGCAACCAGAACAGAAATGTGTTAGATAGGAATAGGAATTACTATGATGTTTACGTGTTGCCATGTGATTACTACGATGTTTACGTGTTGCCATGTGATACCAGTAATGTTAATATTCAGGTGCACTGATGAACTTATCACAGTACTCACCTGCATTACTGGTTGAAAATGACTTATTGTACCACAAACCTACCGAGTTAGAATTTCAGGGGTGAAAACATCTGCAGCTTTAACAAACTGATTTATGTGAAAGTTTAAGAACTATTCTGAATCATAGCTAGTGTCTTTTTTTAACCTATTTTATTATGAGAGGTTTTATTTGTGTAGTAAAATCACATAACAAAATTTACCTTCTTAACCATTTTAAGTGTAATGTACACATGGTTGTACAAACACATCTCTAGAACTTTCCATCCTGCAAAACTGAAACTGTACCCATTGAACAGCTCAACTACCCTTACCCCCTTCTCACAGCCTATAGAGTTGTGTAATGTGTGATAGGTAAATTGTAATAGTTTTGATCTATTTTGATGCATTTGCTTATGAGAATTGAGCCAATCTAATTGTAGTTAAGGTTTATTAATTTCAGAGAGGAAGGACGAGGGAGAGATAGAAACATCAATGAATGAGAGAGAATCATTGGTCGGCTGCTTCCCTCGGGAATCGAGCCTGCAACTTGGGAATTGAACTGTGACCTCCTGATTCATAGGTTGGCACTCAACCATGGGAGCCACACTGGCCAGACTCATTGAGTGCTTTTCTAAAAAATTGTCTTGTTTTAATACTCAGACATGCATTTCTTAGATCTTTTTTGGGTTCAAGTCTCTATAGTTAATTAATAAATACTTGAGAATTTTTTGCTAAATCAGTGGAGGCAGAATGATATTTCTCAAATTTTTCTGTGAAAGCAATGACTTGGAAGAACATTTAGAGGAACCTGTTGCTGAACCTGAGCCTGATCCTGAACCAGAACCGGAGCAAGAACCCGTATCTGAAATCCAGGAGGAGAAGTGTGAGCCAGTATTGGAGGAAACGGCTCCTGAGGATTCTCAGAAGAGTTCTTCTCCAGCACCCACAGACATCGCTCAGACAGCGCAGGAAGACTTGAGGGTGTGCAGCATGTCTTTATTTTTATCCTCCTTCTGGTTTACTTTTAAATCTCTCTTCTCTTTTGTTATGCTTGATTGACTTCTGTATGTGCATTTTTATATTGGTGGCTCAGGGAAATTTCTTACACATTGAGCCATGCCTCAGATAAGAGATGCATATTGCTTTATAAAATCAAAAGTAACTTTTCTTTCCCCTCTAAGGAATCTTGAATACTTTTTGTACCAGAAATTTTCAGGTGTTGTTTTATCACCATATCAACAACCCCTCATCTTTTTAATATTTCATCTTTTAAATTGAAGATTATTACATGCTTGTTAAAACAAACAAGTGGTGATGTATCTTTAAAAAATAATATGACACAAAAGACTTTCCTCTCTTTTTTGATGAAATCTAATTGAGAATAACTTTATGGTAGGAGTAGAAACAAATTGTTGAAATGTAACTACTTTCCTGATTAGAATACCTGATTTCAAAGTGTTGAAACTTTTCAGTAACTCCTGTCACATCAGGATGATGTTAACTGAACTCCCAGAACCTTTACATTTGGTACTCTGTGAAGAAATATGTTTTAGTGCTGTATTTATGGGGTCAGGGTTCTTATAATATTTATGTTTGTCTGACAGTTAATTCAAGTGCCAATGTTGTAGGCATTGTTCTAGGTATGGGAACTATGTTAAATGAATAGGGTTCTTGGTCTCTCCTTTAGTAAGTGAGTAAGTAGGAAAGAAATGGTGAGACTAGCTTGCAGGTAGAAAAGTGGGTTGGCTGGATTGAGAATGAATGATCAGTTGTTAGGTGGCTGTTATATTCTGGAGAGAGAGAATGAATGATATTTTGGATTAGGGACATGGCAAGAAGATAATTCAGAGTTAAATAACAGGATTTGGTGATTTTATATGGATAGAAAAGGGGTTTACGATAACTCTAAAGTTGATAACATTGGATCAGTGTTTATATCATAGCATTTCTAAGAAATTTTAGTACTAAATTTGTAAATGGGGGGGTGGGGGGTAATCTCAAGATACTTATAAACTACCCTGCCTATGAAAATGTGATGCATATATCATGTACAAGAAATCAAGAACTAATGGCTTTTATATTGTTTTAATATATAGTATAATCAGCTGGTATTGATGTTTGTTGCCTTAGACATTTTCCTGGGCATCTGTGACCAGTAAGAACCTTCCACCCAGTGGAGCTGTTCCAGTTACTGGGATACCACCTCACGTTGTTAAAGTACCAGCTTCACAGGTGAATTTCTCATTCAGCTTGCATATTAAGGCAAATTTATTTTTATTTTGTGTACTGTGGTTTCATAGTGCTTTAGAGAATGTGGAAACTGATGTTATAAGACCAGAGGAGAAGGGTAAGAGATAGTTTTTAATGATTTTTGTGTGTGAGAGAGAATTGTCATATTCTAGTTTAAACCTTATTGTTAGCTAAGAAACTTCACAAGAAAAAAAGTAAGCTTGCTTTGTTTTTACACAAAAGTTAACTTAGAAATGTTTCAGCCTCGCCCAGAGTCTAAGCCTGAATCTCAGATTCCACCGCAGAGGCCTCAGAGGGATCAAAGAGTTCGAGAACAACGGATAAATATTCCTCCCCAGAGGGGACCTAGACCAAGTAAGAGCTCAGAAGGATGACTTTTCTAGTTTGGGGGATTTTGAAGTGGGTACCTTGTTTTTCTTTGGGGGAGGGCAGTGCTCAATATTTTCTTAGATTAAAAAATTACCTGAGAGTTGAAATTACCTGTATTTAGGGTAAAGAGAAAACACTTGTATGTAATAGTCACTGAAAGGTGTCTTTGTCTTTCATTGTTGCTTTTGTTTTCTCTTAAGTCCGTGAGGCTGGTGAGCAAGGCGATGTTGAACCTCGAAGAATCGTGCGACACCCTGACAGTCACCAACTCTTCATTGGCAATCTGCCTCATGAGGTCGACAAATCAGAGCTTAAAGATTTCTTTCAAAGTAGGTGATTGAGTTTTAAACACTAGCTTCATCTAATGCAGCACTGCCCAATAGAAATAGAAGATGAGTCACATATGTAATTATTTAACACAAAGTATCTAAGCTGTCATTTCAACATATAAAAATATGTAAAAGATGGTATATATTTTTCTATTCTCAGTCTTCAGAGTCATGTATTTTTAGACTTAATGCATGTCTTGTTTTGAACTAGCCACATTTCAAGTACTCTATAGCCATGTCCTATTGGATAGTGTGTGTGTAATATTTAAATGAAATGTCCTAATAAGTTATTTGAGAATTTGTATTTCACTTGCAGATTATGGGAATGTGGTGGAGCTGCGCATTAACAGCGGTGGGAAATTACCCAATTTTGGTTTTGTTGTGTTTGATGATTCTGAGCCTGTCCAAAAGGTCCTTAGCAACAGGGTAAGCAGCTTTTCATTTTTTTTTTTTTATAAGCATGTGTGTTGGCTCTTGGAATATTTATCCTTCGAACTATGTTTGATATGTAAAGTGCAATTTATTCCAACATGTTTGGTAATATATTCTATGATGTTCAACCCTTAGTATCAAAAGAACTGCCTGGGAGTTTAGAAAAACAAAGCTTCTGTCTAAATAACTTAGTTTTTTAATAAGTGAATGATGAGAATAATTCCGGATTCACTGAGAGTTATGCAAATTCCTTTTGGTGGTGGCTTATTGTGTAGAACATGAAATACAATGTTGCACTTAGCTAAGATAATTTAAGAGCCTGTTTGCCCTGGGTAGTCTTGGTATAAAACTGCAGCCTGGGTCATAACTATGAGGAGCTTTGCCTTTTATTCTATAAATAGTCTGGGTTTGGAGTCACATTACCTGAAACCACTTTTATTAAAATTACTGTTAGTCTTCCCTAGCCAGTTTGGCTCAGTGGATAGAGTGTCGGCCTGCGGACTGAAGGGTTCCTTAGATCAATTCCGGGTAAGGGCATATGCCAGGATTGCCGGCTCAATCCCCAATGTGGGGCGTGCAGGAGGCAGCCAGCCGATCAATGATTCTGTCTCATTGATGTTTCTCTCTCTGAAATCAATAAAAATATATTTTTAAAAAAATCACTGTTAGTCTAATTACAGAGGGATTCGTAGAATTGGAATTATCTTACTGATAGTTCTAAAGAACTCTTCCCTTCCCCGACAACTTTCATTAGCAAAAAATACTTCCTGTAGCACTAGTAGTAGAGAAGAACAGAGAGATAAATAATTGTTAATTTTCTGAGATGGATATGGGAATTTAAAAACCTCATTTTTTAAAATTTGAGGTAAAATTCACAAAACAAAATTAAGTCTTAATATATTTTATTAATATATTTTATTAATTTTTTACAGAGAGGAAGGGAGAGGGGTAGAGAGTTAGAAACATCGACGAGAGAGAAACATCGATCAGCTGCCTCCTGCACACCTTCTACTGGGTATGTGCCCGCATCCAAGGTACATGCCCTTGACTGGACTCAAACCTGGGACCCTTCAGTTCTCAGGCTGATGCTCTATCCACTGAGCCAAACCGGTTAGGGCTTAAAATATTTTTATTGAATTTTTAGAGAGGATGGGAGAGGGAGAGCGAGAAAGAGAAGCATTGATGTGAGAACTGAACATTGATCAGCTGCTTCCTGAAGGCCCCCTCCTGGAGATCCAGCCAATAACCCAGGCATGTGCCCTGACAGTGAATCGAACAATCAACTTTCAAATCATCAACCTTTTGGTGCATGGGGCAATCCCCAACAAACTGAGCCACACTGGCTCATTTTAGTTTTATTTTATTTACTTATTTTTAAATAAATTTTTATTGATTTCAGAGAGGTAGGGAAAGAGAAATAGAAACATCAATGATAAGAGAGAGTAATTGATTGGCTGTCTCCTGTACACCTCCTACTGGGGATTGAGCCCACAACCCAGGCATGTGCCCTTGACTGGAATTGAACCAGGGACCCTTCAGTCCGCAGGCCGACGCTCTATCCTCTGAGCCAAACCGGCTATGGCCTTAGTTCTATTTTTAAACTTTTTAATATGTTTGTTTCTTTTAAAAAATGGTTTCTATTCTAATTGACAGTCAATATTATAAGGTGTGCAGCATAGTGGTTAGACATTTATATAATTTACAAAGTACCCCCAATAAATTTAGTACAGTACAGTAACATTTATTAACACCTATCTAGTTTCAAAACATTTTCATCAGCCCTAGCTAATTTGGCTCAGTGGACACAGGCCCAAGTTGCAGGCTCTATCCCCAGTAGGGGGTGTGCAGGAGGCAGCCAATCAATGATTCTCATCATTGATGTTTTTATCTCACTTACCCTCTCCCTTCCTCTCTGAAATAAAAAAAGAAATCAGAAAAAAAAACACCCACAAAACAAAACCAAAAAAACCCCAAACATTTTCATCAAAAGTAAGTCCCTTACCCATTAAGCTGTCTCTTCCCATATCCTCTCTACCCAGCCCGTGGCAACCACTAATCTGCTTTCAGTCTCTGCAAATTAAAGCTACACGTTTTATTAACCATGTAATAGGAATGTTGTAGATCATTATTTCCCAGAGGTTCTCCAGAATGTTAATGGATATATTCTGCAAAGTTTGATGTGGTCATAACATTATGTGAGCCTTAACCTGTACGTATGCATCTTGAGTGCCAGTGAGATGTGTACATTGACTCCACTATTTTTGTGAAGCATCTCCTGCACAACTTTGAGAAGTGAGAAACTAACTTATTATCTCACTAAGGCCACAGAATATTGAACCCAGAAATCTCCAGTAGGCTTTGGATAAATCCATCATTGAGTATGCAATAGGTCTAGTGGCCAAGTTTTGTGGTGCAGCCTTGAATTGTTTCCTTACAGCAGGGGTGGGGAACATCTGGCCCGTGGGCTGTATAAGGCCCGCAAAATTATTTGGCCTGCCAAGGCATTAGGGGTGAGTTAATTAAATGTTTGACTAAATCTAGCAGCCTAATTCTTAAGTTGATAATTTTGTATGGCCCGTGAATGATGTTATAAATACCCAACTGGCCTTTAGCAGAAAAACGGTTCCTCACTCCTGCCTTGCAGGGTATGATATTCCCATACTGGCTTCCTAGTTAATTGCCCAAGATAGGGATTTGTTTCTTTTAATGAATGTGGGTAAGCCAGGACATCTTTATGTATAAGAATTGTTTGAAGTAAATTTTCTCAGAAAAGGGGCCGTATGTCTGATACCTTTTCATTCAGATTGCTTCTACCCTTATGATAACTCCCAGAGATGTTTTCCATAACTATGTTTCAAAATATCCCAGCCCAAACCTATGTCCCTTTAATCTTTCAGACTTTAATATGATTTTATTCTTCCCGTTGTATTAGAAGATTGCCTGTAACAGTGCTTCAGATTGTGTGTGAAGTGATTTATATAAAAATACTTACATTTATCTTAAGTGTTAAATAAAATATAAATGTGCAAATATAAATATATGTTTAATTAGAATTTAAAGTATAAATTAGAATTCAAAAAAGCCTTTTTTAAATGTATACTTTCAGATTATGTCTTTGTAGTTTGGGAACTTCAGATGTAACTTAATTTTTCCCTCATCTCACTGTATTGATAGAAATCCCTTCGGTAATTTTTTATGAGTACAGAAGTAGCTTATATAAGTCTGATGACCATGATATTTGACATGTTTTTGTGTAGCGTAGTGGTTCAAATCTTATACTTTCCAGTCTGGATGGCTTGGTTTACAGTCCTCTTCCATCACTCACTCACTAGTGCTGTGGCCCATGAGCTGAGAGTTCCTCAACCTTCCTGGCCCTTAGTTTGCTGGCCTCTAAAATAGGTATAACAACAACCCTCAGAGAGTTGTGAAGGTCAAATGAGAGAATACATGTGAAGCATATAGAACATGTATCTGCAGAGCAAGTTGTGTTAGATACTTATTTTTAAAAATATTTCAGTTAGCAAACAGGATTGCTAATGAAACATGTACATTGAATTCATTAGAATCTGAAGTAAACCTTTGTTCCTACTTTAGCTCTATTGGGTGAAAAGGAAAGCCAAAGACTTAGCGTGTATGTGTTTTCTTTTTCCTTTTAATAAGATAATGTTATCTTCATTGTCCTCAGTATTTTCAAAATTCTACTAAGGCAAATAGCATTTTGTGAAAATTTTCTATATACTAGAGGCCCGATGCATGAAATTCGTGCAAGGGACTCTGCCCTCGCACCCCTGGCTTCAACTAGACCAGCCGTGGGCAAACTACCGCCTGCGGGCTGGATCCGGCCCGTTTGAAATGAATAAAACTAAAAAAATAAAAGACTGTACCCTTTTATGTAATGATGTTTACTTTGAATTTATATTAGTTCACACAAACACTCCATCCATGCTTTTGTTCCGGCCCTCCGGTCCAGTTTAAGAACCCATTGTGGCCCTCGAGTCAAAAAGTTTGCCCACCTCTGAACTAGACAGTCATCCGGATGGTTGTCCAGATGGTCATTCTGCTGTTCAGCCATTCGGTTGATTTGCATATTACGCTTTTATTATTATAGATATAAAAGGCTAAGTGTTTGTCCTACCAGTAACTATGACGCACTGACCACCAGGGAGCAGATGCTCAACGCAGGAGCTGCAGTGACGCGCCCTGGCCATTTAAAAATAAGTGGCACCAAGGACCTGGCGCCAACAAACCAACACTGGGCTTCCCCCAAGTGGGACACAGGCCCTGCCACCTCCCTGGAGTGACACCCCACCAAATTGCAGCCAACACTGCTAAGACCCCATGGCACAAAATGTGCCCCACAGCCCAGCCCAGCCTGGAAATGGTGGCTGTGGGCGCCAGGTAATGACGTCACATAGCAACACTGGGCGTCCTCTCGCTAGAGACTAGCCTCCTTGGAGTTTCTTTAGCTAAGGAACCCAACTTGCTTTATAGCCAGGTGCAAACATTTTACAGTTTAACCAAATGTTTGTGAAGCGTTTTCCCGTGCCTCATCTCATTTGATCCTCACAGAAGTCCTGGAGTAGGTAGATAGGAGACTCGGTAGAATCCTATTTTCTTTTCATTAACAAGACGTGAATAACGATATTAAAATATTACTTCTAATTAATTTCCTTTCCGTGTGCACGAATCCGTGTAATGGGACACTAGTATTTCGATAAAATTAAAGCTTTTGAGGTGCATATGTACTTTGTATAAGTATGTGCAGCACAATCTTTCCACATTAGGTGATGGGGTTTTATTCAAAGGCTTGAAATTCATAGAGATGACAATTCTTATATTCTATTTATGTAATTCTATGGGAAAATAAGATCTACTTTAATAAAGTACAATTAGAGTTACTTGTGCTCCTATGCTGTTTAAATGGACTTTTTTGAACTAGCCTGCATACTCCTGCATATCTAATCACCTTTCCATGTTTTTGTTAATGGTAACATTATATATTCTGAATTTAAAACAAAAACTGAACTGTGAGGACATAGGTGATTTGTAAGCTGCTGGTTCTGTATAATAGCTTTGTTTTAACCTTGATAGTTGGTAGTTGGTCAGCACTGTGTGTAAATCTTCTCACCTTGACTCTTACAGCCCATCATGTTCAGGGGTGAGGTCCGTCTGAATGTGGAAGAGAAGAAGAATCGAGCTGCCCGGGAAGGAGACCGGCGAGATAACCGCCTGCGGGGACCCGGAGGCCCTCGAGGTGGGCTGGGTGGTGGAATGAGAGGCCCTCCCCGTGGAGGCATGGTGCAGAAACCAGGATTTGGAGTGGGAAGGGGAATTGCTCCAAGGCAGTGAATTGCTCTTCACTGATCTTCACGCAGCAGTACAAACCCCGTTCCTGCAGAATGGTGATTTCTTCAACCATCCTTTGGTATCTTGCAGTATGACCCTGGTCTCTTATAAACTGCTTAAGTTTGTACAATTTTACTTTTTGTGTTAATGGTGTGTGTTCCCTCCCTTCCTCTTTTCTCTCCTCACCTTTTATTCCTTCACTTCCAATTTTGTGGAATGATATTTTAGGAAAAATGGATTTTTAAAGAAGAAAAAAAAAAGACTGAATTTCCTTGCATTAGTTTGCATATACAGACTGGATTTTTTTTTTTTAAACAGCCATTTCCCCCAAAGGAATGTGTCGCTTATTACTGACATTTGGTATGTTTCATTCATTGGGATATTTCTTACTTATTTTCTACATGTTTCAAAAGCCTTTGAGAAATACAGGATTTGATAAACATTTTGAAGGCAGGAAAAACCCCAAAATTGTTTCTTTTGAGAGTCATGACTACCTTCTGGTGTGGAGAAACTGCCATTGGAAAAATTGACAATTTTGATTCTCGCTGGTATGGATAAAAACTGAATAAAAGATGTTAGTGAAGTTTTTTCTTTTGGTATGTGATCACAAAACAATTATAAAATCCACTCTTTTTACCATTGAAATTTAAATTGTGAGATAGGTTTTAAATGTCTAGAATGCAACTGATGTGCTTTTCTTAAATTATTAGGGGTTTTTTTGAAGTAGAATTTATTTTCATGTTTAATTTGTATTTGTTAAACAAACAAGAAAAGACAACACCCTCCCCACCACAATCCGAGGAACACAAAACCAGAGCAAAACTGTTGTGCCTTCTATTTATCTTTGATTCCGGTCTTGGCAATTGTTTAAAGAAAAATAATAAAAAAAAGTCTAGATTTGTTTTTTTCCAGGTTCAGAGTATGTTGGGAATTGTGGAACCCCTCTTTCACTGTGCGTCTTCTGTTCACTTGTTATGCTTTAGTCTGAAATTGAGTCTCAAACTGGAATGCCTTGAGGACGGGTGCTTCTGTAGAGGTCCTTTGACCTAAATAGCTCAGCATTTTATTTTGGTATCTATTCAGAATTCTAATCAGCCCACAAGAAGGAATGTGATTTTCATATTGGACTTTGCTGATATGCTTGAGTGTCTGCTAGTCTTTTTCCTTTAAATCATAGCTATACGGTAAATTTTCTGTTTTACTGGTTCTCTTTTATCGATGGACATGCAGTGGGTGTTTCTTTGAAATGGCCAATTCTTATTAAAATATTTCTGGGAAGAAAATTTAATCTGACATGTAGGTTAATACTCGTTTTATATAGTATGTTTGTTGAGTGCTGTGTATGACTTGGGTGAAGGGTTTGTTTACACATTTGTGAAGCAAGCCTTTGTGTAGTATCTTATCATTGTTACTAGTTGAAGGGCAACAAGGCTGTCAAATTTAACTTATTTTCTTCTTAACAGTATTCATCTTTAGGACTGTTGTTTGAGGATAGTGTGAGTAGGAATAGGAATGTTTGTTTTGCTGTTACTGGGAAACTAGGTTTGCTGAAGGGTGTAGTCTTAAACTAAAATGAAATTTGATGTTATCAGTTGGTCCTCAATACCTCAAATATTTGAAAATTGGCAGCATCTCCTTCATATAAAGAAACTTATATAACTGAATCACACGGCTGTTTTGGTGTTCAGTTTAAATGATTATTTGGTAACCACTTCATTTGGCCTAGCCAGTGATAATTAGGAGAAATCCAGCTTATACTTCTGTAGCTTATATTAAGCTTGTTGTGGAAAGGAAAAAAACTTAGCCTGAGTTATTTTTGCAGTAACTGTAAAGACATAAATTATGGATAACCTAGAAATCATTTTTCACAAGTGAATACTAAACCATGCATTTCAAAATAGGAGTTCTTTCTACTCAGGTTTAAGGGTACTAACTAGATGCCGTGGTACCCAATTTGGGGCTGTTATATCCTAGACTAGAGGACATTGGAAATGTGTGAGGTTGTGAAGGGTGTTGGAGGGGGACACTGCATTTGGCATTTAGTGGGTAGGTATCAACAATGCACATGTTCTGTAAAAATGAAGCAACTGCATTAAAAATAGATAGTTTCCTATAAATGCATGATGGGCGGAGCAGTGGATTACTACAACTGGAGTTGAAGACTCATTCCTTTGCAGTAAAGCTTCAGATAAATAAAAATAAATGAATTAGCAAATAGATAGCTCTTTCAGCAATTATAGTAACATCTACTGTAAGTTATCTCATTTTCCTTCATTTGTACCAATATGTGGTTTTAAAAAATTTTTGGAGAAGGTAGCATTATGCTAGATGCTGCTTGTAACTTGTTGCAGGGAGTTACTGTGTAATCCCAGAAAACAAAAGTTTACTTGAGTAATTTCAGCTCATCAGAATTTGGGTGATTGTGGAGTTTTGAATAGCATAGGACTTTTATATGTAGGATTTAGCATCATGTTTTAACACTATAAAAATCCTGGTATCTTTGTTTCCATTATTGCTGATGGAATAAACATGATACCGTAGAGATACATATATTCACACAGATACAAAGTGAAAATAAAATAAGGCAAGATTTTTCTATAGGCAGCATCAGCTCATCATATTCAATCTTTTCAGGTTTTAAAATATAATTTTTCATTTCTAGGAATGGCCCAGTGTCTAGTTCTTTTCTACTGAGCTTAACACCCTTACTTACTTATCTAGTAACTTACTAGGTATAAGATTAGTTCAATGTGCATCTTCATCTTTTAAGAACTGTTGAAAATAAATACACCTTGGGACTTAAAAAAGTACTTTTATTTGCTTTTATGGTGAGGTTGGTCTTGACTTGTGTATGCCTTTGTTCTCAACTTTTTGAGCTTTTGCTGGGGAGCAGTGAAAAGAATTATCCAAAAATAATTATTTGAGTAGGTTACTGCACAGTATTAGTTAAATTGCACTTTAGTTTAGGTTGGAAAAATAATTTTCACGACTCTGTGGATTAGGTACTGTTTTCCCCAAAGTAATAGATAAAGGAGAAACGGCATCAGGGCAGCTATGTGACTAGGCCTCCAAACCATCCATGTAGCAAGGAGCAGATTGACCTCCGAAACTGATGCTTTTTCTCCAAAACCAAAATGCCTACATATGTACATTTGAATGACATATCAATATATAGGATATGACCATATAATTACTACAGTATAGAAACCAGGGTCTATAAAACATTCATAACAAGGTTAGCATTTCTGTTCTTCATTTCCATAGGGTAAATAATATAATGTAAATGATTTGTATAGGGCTTCTTTTGATATGCAGACTATTTGGTAACAATAATGACTTATTAGATTAATTTCTTATCTGGTTTGATAATACATTTAGAAATCTGGATGTGAATAATATTTTTATCAGAGCATAATCCAGGTGAATTTATAGCAGTTATGTTTTGTGCTTATAACTGCCATCCTCTGATACTTCCTTCACCCCTTTATTTGAAAATCCTTGTAGAGTTTAATGAGTTAGTGGAAAATGAGGCACTTTATAGAAAATAATTCGTTAGAATCTGTATGGAAATAATCTTCCTATGAGGTTTAAATTTGTAGACCATTGTTTATGCTGAATGGCCTATTTCTTTTATGTAAATGGTTGCATTTGTCAAACCTACTGATCTAAAGATATCTTTTATATTGAAGTTTTATTTTTGTGCTACTTAAAAGAATTTCTGCAGGAACTGCATACAGATGACCTTTTAATTAAGCAATCTTGAACTTTAAAAAGAAGCAACTTCAACATTTATTTGAATATAGGGTTCTAGCTAATTGCCTAATATACTGAAAATGGGCATTGGATAATCATGACAGTCTTTCACAAATGTTTAAAAACCTTAGGAATGAATGTTAGCAACTTAGCAATGTCTTATGTGGAATGAGGTTGTAGATTTAACTTGCTGATCAAGTATTGGCTATGTGGTACTAGATAATTATATAAGGATTTCTGCTTTTAAGGTAGTAATTCCTTTTGGGATTTTCATTTGTGTATACTGTGATATTGAAGTTCTGGGGACCATAGGCAGGCTTGTGAATTCTTACTAAACTAAAGGAAAAATGGTGGCACATGTGAGATTAAACTTCCATTTATATTCTTTTTAGTGACTATGTATGTAGCTCAGAGTAATGCTGAAATTAGACTGCTTTGCTTGTGCTTTCATGAAACAGTCTCTCATCGTGGCCTGAATGAATAAAGAGTTGATTAGAGGTGGCCTAAAAGCACTAGTTTTATTTGTTTTGATTTATGCTACAGTATGGCTTAGAATAAAGGTTGTTCGCTTTTTGATTATGTCACTTATTTTGAAAACCTTGGATAGTCTTCTTCTCCAATTTCCATTTGAACCTGGTAGCTTTTTTTTTTTTTAGTTCCCTGAGAGAAGAAAATAGTATTGGAAGTCAGTTCCACTATTACTCCCATAAACCATGTGACCTGGCCAACTAGAAATCCACACGTTTTGCACTTTGAAACGTGGCCCATGTCACAGATTCCAAGGGACTTGCATCTACCCAATGTGTCTTATTTTCTTAAAAAAAGAAAATTAAGGGATGTTTACCAAAAATTTACTATTGAATTATTTTAACAAATCTTTTTTCATAAACCCACTTAGGGGAAGTTTGCCTATTTTGGTAGTAATTTCAGGGATGATCATATCTTCTTTAATCTAGATATAAGCAGTTTTAACTATTGTTATAATTATCCATTTTGGTTACTGAAACTTTCCCCAAGCTTTGTTAGAACCACCTATTTTACTTTGGATTTTATTTAAATTCTTAAATGTCTTTGTGAAGATTGTGTATGTATACTGATTTGGCCCTTTTAAATGAAGGCATGCTGAGAAGCTGGCATAAGGGAGTAAGGAGAAGAAAAGAACTTCCCTTCCTTTAAAGATTCAGTGCACACTTAAGTAGATTGTAGAACATAACTTGTTAAAAAAATTCATATAGGTAGTTGTTAGCTTTTGAAGATGAGTGACGTGGAGGTGGAACTTAGCTGATGGTATAGAAATCATTTTGTGAATTATAAGGAAAAAAACCATAATTTTTAAATGAGAAACAATTGAATGTTTCCTTAAAAGATTTCTTCTCATTCTGATTATTAGCACAAGCGACAGAAGAGGCTCCTAGAATTCATTGAATCATAGAAAATTAGTGCTGGAAAGGACTAAAATGATTTGTATAACACCTTCATTTTTCCAAAGATCTAGGTGCTCAGAGAATTAATTATTGGCACAGAGTCCCAGATCGGCCTGTAGAAGTAACACGGAGGGGATTGCTAGTCCTCCCTGGGCTGGCTGAAGATCCGGATATGGGAGAAAGGGGAAGGAGCCACATTTTACATGCTCACTCAGTTGCTCCTATATAGCTCAGTTTTCATACCTAGGTTTACTCCATTTCCTTAGAACTGTCTTAATGCCCACTTCTACCAGGGCCTGTTGAAAGACATTAACATGTGCTCCCCTCAGGGATGGGTTTACTACTAGCTGTCAGAAAGCTATTGGGTATCCTAATGTGTTAATAGCTGAAACTCAGCTGTAATTTTCTCCTAAATCTGTCAGCATTTTACATTCTGTACATTGTGGTGCTTTTCCACCTTGTATTATAACTGTAAGCTCCTAAGGGGCAGCCATTTGGTCTTAGGCAGGTACCCTGTTCAGTGCCTGGCAGTGCCGTGTGTGTATCAGGGTCCTAACCTTCCTTTCCAGTGATTTTCCCCATTCTTCATGGAAGCGATGCTCCAGCCATCCTGAACTACTCCTGGCTCCTCTGAGAGGCCAGGCATTGCGACTCCGTGGCTTCAAGTCCTCTCTCTTCCCTGAAGATACACTTGCATCTGCTCTCCCCCGTCCAGATTCCTTGCCATCAAAGTCATTTTTTTGAAGATCCAGTTCAAGAACTAATTGTTATTTTTCCCTGAGAGAGAAAAGATCTGCAACAGGAGCGGGGAACCTTTATTTGGTGGTTGATCTGGCCAGAATTTGAAATGAGGAACAAACTCATTCCCATCTTCTTTCCTTCCACATTGTCCCTTCTGTTTGACAGTCTGTCCCAATCTTCATTTTTTAAAAATATGTGTTCCTAGAGCACTTTCTACCTTTCTCCTAGCTGAAAACTTATGCCTTCAACCTGGAATTAGAATGACCTGTATCTGTTATACTACATCATTAGACCACAGCTCCTAGAGGACAAGGACTGGGAAATTAATCCCAGCACTCCACCAAAGGTACAGTGACTATAGGAAAGAGGCATTTAATGATGACTCATTGAGTTGAATGAATTAATGTATTTCTGTTTTCATTTTCAAAAGGGAGGTATGCCTAGAGCCAGGACTTAATTGAATAAATTTTAGGCACTATGACATTTCATAGTGGAGGGGATTGTTGGGAAATTTTAAGGGGGCTGGGGGAGTGGAGGAGAGAGGAAGTCACTGGTCATTTTGAGGTACTTCCATCCTTGGCCTGACTTAAGTGCCCAGTATATCCCAGGCATTTGTTTGTATGTAGAAGAATTTTATGTGCCAAATTTCATTTCTTTTCACAAGCCTACTCCATTGTTCTTTCAGTTCATGTCATCACCCATGCCCCAAGTCTAAGTTGTCTGCTTCCCTTTTTCTTGCTCCCCACATCCAGTGTCCAGCTAAGTCTTACCAGTTCTACCTCAACAGTCTTTTCACATCTCTTCCTCCTCACTGGGACAATTTCAGTGGCCTCTCAGCTTCCTTGACCTCTTCTTACCCCAGCCTACTTATACCCCATGCTAGATTCATCTTACTGAAACAGCTCTGACTATGGTCCCATGTATGTGTTCTATCTCCCCTGCTAGACTGTAAGCTCCTGATGGGCAGGATCTGTGTCTGAGTCATATTTGTATCTCCCTAGTGCACATATCAATAAATATTTCTTGAATTAATAATATAAAGCCTGTCTTAAGTGAAGTGATGTTTTCCAGATCATATGTAGGTTTCTTTCTGGGGTAATTGCAAGACTTCAAAAGTTCTTTAACATACAAAGTTGGTTGAATAATAACAACTATGGATTAACCACAAAGAAAATTTCAGAAAACTTTAATTTTTTTTCATTGGAATCAGCATGGATATGTGTATATGGATGGTTCAATAAATATATTTTTATATACATGTATCACAGAAATTTTACATTCCATCTTCAAACTGCAGAAATAGACTTTTTTTTTTACAAGCCAAAAAATAATTGCCATAACTTTTATGACTTCATGCAAAACAGGGAGGAGTAAGGGGCAAAAGGGAATAGGTTGGTTAAGGTTAAGAGTCCTGTAAGAAGTAAAAATGTTACATTAAGGAAGCGATTGCTTAACACGCTGCTTAAGGTGGTAGCCAAACAAATCCTTAACTGCAGCATTAAGGCCATACCAAGTTTATACATATATACAAAGAAATTTCCATATAAAAGACATACTGTCACATTTACTTGTGGGAAAGGATGAGGAGCTTTGTGAGTAATTCTGACCCAGTTTTCCAGGCCACGTAATTGTTTAAGATTTCCCTAGGCTATTTCTTAGAACTCTCTTTTACTTTGGCTAGCTGTCAGTTACTACTCTGTGGGCTTACGACTTTTGTAGTCTCTTACGTGGAAGTATGAGTGATCTTGAACTTCCATCATAGGTGATCAAGCACTTTGTAGCTTAACTAATTCACACTGCCCAGCGCAGCATATATTTTACATCTCCCTAAAGTATGGGAATCACAGAATTGTAACTTCAGTTGTCTTACCTGTAGCAGTCTCCACAGCCTGTGCTGGCATTGTCACCTGAAGAATTATAGGTGCCCTTCTGTTCTTTGGGGTTAAAAATAACTTTGAGTAGCTATAGTGTAATGAATTGATGTGTGAGGTTTCAGGTTAGATATGCTGGAGCTCTTGAAAGTTAATAAATACTAAACGTTTACCCCACCCCCTGTCACAACACATTTCAGTTGGCAGCTACCTTTTTGGAAAAAAAGAAATGTAAAAATGTAAAGTCACTTGCAGAAGAATTCTGCCTAAATATCAAATCAGGTAACTGTTAAGACAAAGGGTAGGTCTTTTGTGCGGACACCTAAACTAATGAAATGGAGCAAACACGAAGGGTACGTCCTCTGGAGATGGCTGCAGTTACGCAGGAGCCATTTGCTTTGGTGAGACTTGAGATCGGACACTGGTTCTATTGGCAGAAACTGGCCTCTTAGTGGATAATCTTGAGTAAAAAAAAAAAAAGTTAAAACTAAGTTTATGATAAATCATTTAAATAAAATACCCTTTCCCCCAGTGAATGAGTGAGCCTTTATTTGATAATTTCCAACTCACTTTGGACTGTTTTAAATCAATCTAATACTGCTTTCTCATTAATGTCTTAGCTGTGAATTGGATATCACCAGTAGTCCTGTTCATCCTGTTATCAGGTATGCCTCCTGGGTGTTCACAAATATGGCTGCAAGTTAATTTGGTCTCCTCCCATGGGTTGGTTCCCTGGGCCAGTCAAGTGTGAGAATGAGGTCTCTGGAACTGGCCTTCCTGGGAGAGAGGACCAAATAATTTGTGATTTGGAAGCACTTTAGTATGTTTGAACACTTAGAAAGTGAGCAGTCACTGTCCCTTTCAATCATTCACCAGCCGCTCTTTGCCCAAATGACACTAGTTCTTTATATTGAAGTAATTCTCAGTTTTAGAGAAGTGATTTTAGCCAACAGGTCGATCGTGACAATGAGATCCAGACAAGGAGACCTGGACACCCCTTGACAACCTTACTAGAGGGCTTAGAAGTATTAAGGGTTTTTTCTTGGTCACTTTGTGGTTCACTTTGTACATTTCAATGTAATTACAGAAGGGGAAGATGTCCAGTTTTTCGAACTTAGAGGCAGCTGAGGTCCTTGCTGTGACTTGTCTTGAAATTAGAATTTGGCTGCATAGTTTTCTTGGGTTCTTTTTGAGACCTTTGCACCATTGTTTGTCTAATATGCACAAGAATCACATTGGGTAGGCGTTTCATCTGTCCAATAGACAAGTAGGATGCACCCCTTTGGGATTTAACTATTGTTAGTGCTGAAAATACTATAATGGATTAAGTCTTGGAAAATAGAACGATTAAAATATGAAATAATATGGCAAATTCATGGTATTTTAAATTTAATGCTTTGAAATGCATTATGGGAACACCCACTTTTTTAGTTTCTTACTATATTCTGGCTAAATGGCATGCTCAGAGCATGGTACACATACCTTTGAAAGAGGTAGAAATACCTAATGTGGAAAAAAATTGATTTTAGCAAACTACTTACTTGATATGTAAGCACCACTTTTAAAAAAGATTTGGGCCAATCATTTACTAGGGTAGGTAATTCTAATCTCTTTCCCCACAGTATTCTTTTTAAAGAGTTTAATCAAGAAAGGCAACTCTTTCTGAAAGAAACTTTTCATTTTACACACTAGCAATGACTTGATTAAAAACCAGTTACATTTGTCTTTTTAAAAAATTCATATTTGGCTTTTTTCCTCTTCACACCTTTTTTTCTTTATGAACATGACTTCATGCTTTGACTAGGGAGAGATGCTCTAGGTTGGGAGAAGTCATTTTAGATGCAGCTGAAAATAAAAAGGACATGCTAGGCTATACTTTCCTTCCAGGTCAGCTCTGTTTTCTAATTCAGTTTAACAAAAGGTAATAGTATTTGCACCACAAGCTCTCCTTTAGAAGTACCTGCATGTACTAAGTACTGGCTGGCTGGCTGGCAAAAGATGAAGCTCTAGAAAGTTTTTCAGAGTCACCATAAACCAGCAATCTCAGTGTAGAATCAGGACTTGATTGTATCTCTATTATCCCCTCTCCAGTGCCTACTGAGCACAACCTAAGTGCTTCCTATATGTCGGGGTGAATTAATGCCCTTGAAGATGTGAATTTCTAGTGGGTACTGTGTCTACTTGTAAGATGAAGGAAAAGGTAAGTTCCCCCAAATAAGTATAGAGAATCTGAATGAGGCTGGAAGTGTAAGCTAATGGGAAGGAGATAGAATGAACTCTCGGCCCCTGAAGGTGTGCCCCGGGTCTGTTAGAACTTTAAGGTTGTTATGATGTGCTCCATGCTTTATCTGTGCCTACCATTCACAACACTTGAACCAAACGGATAATCACGGTACCTTGTACATGCCCCTTGTTTTTTTTACCTCCATGTTTTTACTCCTGTTATTCCCTCTGCTGGAATACTCTTTCCTCATCTGTCAAAATCTCACCTGTTCTTTAAGGTGCTACTGCTCAAATGGCCCTCAGGTCTTGAAAGGCTCCATGATCTGTTTTCTGCCCACTTTGGGCACCCTCTTTTCTCGTACATATTTCCTGCATTCCTCATTAGTGATTGTTTTGGAAGTTCTATTGTCCCCTCTTACATTGTAAGAAAAGAGGCTTTTATTCTGATGCTCTGCTTTTACACTGCACTTCTTGCCACAGTGATTTAATAAACAGCAGGTGGATGGATGACAGGCAGGTGTAGGGAGGTTAGTCCTGGCTATGACACGAACTATGGAGACCTCCTCCCTGAGCTTCCACTTCTGACATGACCCCGAGAGGCCGAGCTGCTTTTTCCATGCTGAGACATTGTGAAAAATCATATCAAGGCAATTAATTACATAGCACATAGCAGTTACCTACACACCCAGTGACCCTGACGGCTCACTCAACAGGCCATTCAGAGTGCCCTTTGTCTCACCAGCATGCAGAGCTATGCAGGACTGGCCCTGGCCTTCAGAGCAGTGGCCCACACATTCTGGCATCACTGCTGTAGCTCATGGTCCTGTTCTGCCAAAGGCCAAGCTTCTGGATGCAGGTGGAGAGACATGGACAGGCCAACCGAGTACTAGGAACTGGAGTAAGCAGAGGCCTTGTCCCGTGAACTGGTCTGGCCTAGTTTGTGCACATCAAGTCACTTAAGGGATTGTTAGGTCAGAAGCAAAAGGATGGGGAGACAAGCAGCAGCTTCTACTTAAAAAAAATTTTTTTTTTTTTAAATTCTCACCTGAGAAATGTGATGTGAGAGAAACATGGACTGGTTGCCTTCTGCACGCACCCTGACCAGGGCCAGGGCCAGGGCCAGCGAGGAGCCTGCAATTGAGATATGTGCCCTTGACTGGAACCGACCCCGGGGCTCTTGGGTCCACAGGCTGACGCTCTATCACGGAGCCAAACTGGCTACGGTCTGCCCCCACTTTTATTACTCATTTCAATGGCATCTCATAGAGAGGTGCTCCCTCTTTACCTGAACACCTGCTTGGGGTAAGTAGTTACTCGTATTTAAAAGATGAAACCACAATTATATAAATCCAGATAGTAAACCTGTCCTCCAAGAGCGGTTCCTGTGAGACCCAATTTCTCGCCTCTGAATTCTTTCTCTGGTCTCTATTACCACATTATCCCCTGGGTTGGAGGACTCCTATCCAGATCACATATCACTTCACTAAGTTTAAATTCTGTAGTTAGGGACAGTCCTCTGATTCCTGTGCCTTGCAATGTTTGTAGGATGTGCCTCGTCTTAGTTGAATGAATGTTTTAAAGGGATTCCAGATTTAGGGAAGACCTCCAGAAAAGGTGTAGTCCTTACTCTTGATTCCAGGCAAATCTAGGCCACTCTGGAAACACAGTTAACTCCTGCAGGACTGTTAGCAGGGAGTGTGTTGTCACTGTCCTCCAAATGCCATCGATTCCCACCTGCCCACTGCTCACCCTGCGTGGGTTCTTCCATAACTCTAGCTGGAACATGGCCTCACATCAGCTCTAAATCCTTCATGTACCAGACACTGGATTAGTAGATGCTCAACCTTTTAAGGTGGGCTGATAAGTTTATGTTGCTTATGACCAAGTTCTGAGAAGATGAAGACCGAGGATTGTCTCGTTTGGTTCTTGATCTAAAAGATGAT